TAAATTATAATTAAGTGATTTACAATTTGTTACTTAGTGGTAATTATTGTGTTAGTTGGTTATAGCTATGTACAAAATTGTCTATCCAACGTAACTAATATAAACATTAGTGGAAACTGTCTTAGCTAGCGTTTGTTTCATATTTGTTAAAAATGAAATGTATTATATGATGCTGTATGTTTTGCAAATAAATAAATAAAAAAAATATATAAACGTGAATTGAGTAAAGGGTGCTTGAAGCGCAGAAGACCCAGTCCTGAAATTACAAAACTTTCTGAAATAATCAGCACGTATACCAGATAAGGGGAAAGTGGCCTCTTCTCGAAAGTGTAAGTCAGTCTTCTCGAAACAAGTGTCTATCATAAATGTACTGGAATTTGCAATACTTATAAGATATTTCGCGATTTCCTTTCGAAAATAGATTAAAAACTTAAAATATCTTTATATTATAATTAACCAAAGATTAATTGTCAAATTGATCAAATACCACCTTCGAAAGCAAATTCCTTCGACATGAATGATCTAGGAACAACGAGAATTATTTGATTGGTTTAAAAAAAAGAAACATTTATTTATTTTATAGTTAAACTATTTTTTATAATCTAAATCGCGCATTTTTGCTTTTTCAAACAAACAAACGTTATGGCTGTAAACCTAAGATGTCGATATGTACAATTTTGCTTTATTTCACGATGTCAGGATTCATTACAATTTTACAATTTTTTTTCTGTAAATGGTGGTGGTGAATGACCGCCCAGCAATAGAAGAAGACTAAGAAGAAGTTGGAATGTGGATGGTGATGATAGAATTAATAATTTGGAACAATTATTTTTTGTTTGCATTTAAATGATTTTAGCACGTCTCTTGGATGTAAATATGTACGATACGACTTTTAATTGGACTAAAGGCCAATTTAAATGGAGAGAGTTTATCGTCTCGAAGATACGATTATCGAAAGAATACAAAAAACTTTCCTCGTCTAAACATTCGCGATTATCGACCGTCCACGTGAGCGATAATCGCCTCGCCTTTCAATATTGAACGTCTCCGTGTAAACAGAACTCGAAAGCAAAAATCGTATTTCGAGTTTCTGTGCCAGTCGTTTCTACCACGAGTGCAGTGCGCGAGGGTGTTTAGATTATCACTGCTTTTGTAAGACAAGAATTAATGAAACAAGAATGAAAAAAATTTTGGATTAAGAAATGTTATAAAATTTGAAAAAAATAAATAAATTAAAAATGTATATTTCTATACAATGCAATGAACTTAATATCAGCAGTTCCAAATTTGAATGATTTTTGCGTCATTTTGATATATACATAGTCAATACCGCCGTAATCACTGAACTCGAATGGCAATTCTCGCACCCAAAACGGTTCGAACCGATTTGTACGATAATCGTATGAACTTGAAAATATGTCATACGAGATCGTGTTTAGACAAGTCGAAAACTCGTAAACAAGAATCTCCTTACCACATATTTCTCCGTGTAAACAGTCGAGGAGGTGATTAAGTTGCTTGCGAATCTCGTATGACATAATCGTAGGCGAGATTTTAGTTCTTGCCTGAATGTAAACATTATGATACGATAATCTTATGGCGATTATGGGTTACGATAATCGTGTACGATTTTTCGTGCGATAAACTTTCTCCATCTAAATGGGCCTTTATACGGTTTATACTGAGAAAATTAAAGATTCAAACTTTAAACCTTAAATGATCAAATTGGCCAAACAAATGTAAAAGTTGATAATGCATTGATTTTTTTACTGATATTCAAATTTCGAGGAATCGAGTCGTTAGATTCGTCTGGATTAGTTAATATTGGAGTTAAACGAGTATATATCCAAATGACGCAAAAAGCATTCAAATTTGGAACTGCTGATATTAAGTTCATTGCATGCATTGTACATTTTTAATTATTTTTTTTCAAATTTTATAACATTTCTTAATCCAAAATTTTTTTTCGTTCTTGTTTCATTAATTCTTGTCTTAGAAAAGCAGTGATAATCTAAACACCCTCGCGCACTGCACTCGTGGTAGAAACGGCTGGCACAGAAACTCGAAATACGATTTTTGCTTTCGAGTTCTGTTTATACGGAGACGTTCAATATTGAAAGGCGAGGCGATTATCCTCACGTGGACGGTCGATAATCGCGAATGTTTAGACGAGGAAAGTTTTTTGTATTCTTTCGATAATCGTATCTTCGAGACGATAAACTCCCTCCATTTAAATGGGCCTAGCATTATAAAATGCTTCAACTCGTCTTTACTACATCCGACCATTTTTAATTTAAGAAATTATGGACGAGGAAGTTAAATAATCATCATACATATTGAATAAAAAATTACCAAGAAATCTTTTTATTGGGAGTCTTACTCTTACCATTTATTATTCATGTACATATAAAAAAAGAAAAAAATCACCAAGGCGGCTGTACGGTGTCAAACCTTTGCTTTTTCCTTTACGGAAAGAATGAAGAGAAATTATTTTGTTATGACGCGATGTACGCGAAAATTTTGTGTCAGCCATTTTTCAGGTGTTAAGAAGCGTTTTAAGAAAGTATTTAAACTTAGGACACTGTTTTAGTCCTGTTAATAGAAAAATATTCAAAAAAACATTTTCTTGTATTTTTGTACTTTATCGTCGACGAAATTGTAATACGGAATCCTTTGATTGTAGATTTTACTCATTTTAATAGGAAACTTTGAATAAGAACTATGAAATTTAATAAATTTCAACTTGTACCTGCCGAACTATGATGTCATTCGAGGTTATTCTTCCCTACCAAGAAAGTAGTCTTTATTACACGGCAATAAGCTTTACAGAGTTGATGTTGCCTACCGGATCGTATTACGCGTTCAAAATAGACCCTGTGTGATCTTAACCTAGCAATCTATTAACATAATAAAAAGAACAAGAATCTTGTAATAAAATCAGCAAAATATGAATACACTCTTTTATTTAGAGGTCATAATTTTTTTTATTTCAATTCAAATATAAAAGCTGACTTCTTCGTGAGATACTTGTTGTTATTCGTCATTGCACTGACACAGATCTCTTCAAAATGAAATTCTTAGTGAGTAATATATTGCAATATTTATTTTATTGGTCCATCATCATCATCATCATCATCATCATCATCAACGTATTTATGCGTTCCACTGCTGGACACGGGCCAATGTTTAGGATATAGTTCGTCAATGCAAATTGAGGGCTTCACACGTTTTCCAAAGGTTGTGGACCTTCTTCGACGTGCAGGCTACATCACGATGTTTTTCTTTACCGAAAAGCTTGTGATAAATTTCAAATTAAATTTCGCATATAAATTCCGAAAAATTCAGAGACGCGAGCTCGGTTCCGAACCGAACAGCCTCTGCTTGAGAGGCGGCAGGTAAAACCATTAGGCTATCAGAAACCGGGGTGACAAGGGGCGTCGTTGTGATGGATTTGTGTGATCCCACGGCGCCCACTACACCTGGCCAAGAGGGTAAAAAGTAATGATATTTTTGTGAAAACACTTTACTACTTTGTTGTTATTATTAATCACCGAGTATATAACCAGAAATAGAGACGAAATAAGGGCCATACATTCGTGGTAACTCATCAGTGATACATCACTTATAAATATTAACTCTCGTTTGCACTAAAATTACAAATTAGAAAGCTGAAATAGTACAGCGCCATCCACTGACCTGTGTGTACGTCTCCGTATATTCCAAAAATATTCTGTATTTGTTGTAATAAAGATAATATCTCTAACAACGGCGTGCTGTTCTATTCGATGGTGTGGGGAAAAACAGCAAAACATCTATTTACAAAACAAACGGAATCAAATTTCATCGGTAATAAAATATTAAATATGTATGTTATAATTATTTATGCAAAAATCGAACACTCAGAAAAAACACTCAGAAAAAATTAGATCGAACACACAAAGAAAAATCCTTAGATCCGGCAGGACTCAAACTAGCGACTATATGGCTGGGTTTAAAAGTGCTCTCCCAATTAGTTGCGGTACGGGTCCGTAGTCCTTGTGAATTTACGAATTTCTCCATGTACTTTTTGCAATTTTTTTTGGGTTTAAATGACTTTTCGCCCGTAGCGCTATCTGTGAGAAATCTATAAGTTTGTTTTTCACTTAACGTTTCGCAGCTCAGTTGATAGAGCTGTAGTCGTTGGTTCGAGTTCAGCCGAATTGAAGTATTTTTTATTTGTCTTTGTTCGTACTTTATAATAATAAGAGTTATAGATTTTTTCAATATATCGATGATCATTGGACATTATAAATGAACTCAAGATATTGTAAAGTAAATTAAGTTCATGCATTCTTACATACAAATAGTTAAAAAAACGATGGTTTCGAGCTATTAAGATGAGATAATTCACTGTGGTGTGATATATTCTCCAGGTATTAGCACTTTGCGTGGGAGCAACGTACGCTGCGTCGACTGTGGCACGCACTGCCACCGGTAACGACTACGAAGCGCCCATCCTCCGATCAGAGTCTGACGTCAATGCTGAGGGATTCAACTATATGTAAGTTCGGGATATTCACTTTGGTCAACGTCATTGTTCTTTTTCTTTTTATTTGAAGTTATATGTTCTTTCAGCTTTTATATATTCTTTTAACAGAGGTCCCGGGTTTGATTCCTAGTAGGACCAATTTGGGAAATGAACATTTTTAAATCAATCCGGGTGTTTTGGAAACTGTCCCAAAATTATTTCTGTTGCTCTGGTATTCATAACATAAGGAATTCCCTAGTTTGAAACCAGGCACCTCGTGTGGTTACATTATTTAATGAAAAATCATTTTTTTTTATTTATTTGGTATCCTAATAGAACATATACAATATTCAATACAATATGAAATTTAATATCTATCTTAATGTATATATTCCAATAACAGGGAAACACAGCATTCTTAATTATGACATCATACAGACAACAACTACGGAACAGAAACAAATATAAAAAACAAAATACAATCCTCTCAACTTAGTACATGAGTTGCCATGTGCAAAATAAAAATAAACAAATTGAATTTGGAAAAAATACAACAGTCCTTACAATACAAATGGAAATCCAGTGATTTCCATTCAACCATTTAAACATACGTTTGACCGAAACGTATGTTTCAGTGATTTCCGTTAAAAATTAATTTAACAATACTCTCTGCATAAGCGCAAAATTGGGGAGTTTATAGCGAGATTGGTTGACTGGATCACATTTTTCATCGAATTGTGGAAAATTTGGTTATTATTATATTCCTATTTTTTAATATTTTATTAACAATTATTATGACTAATTAAAATTTGAACGTTAGACTTATTTATCAACTTAATTTATGCAAAAGCTATGTAGAACCGTTAACCAATCCAGTAGTAGCATTTTTTTTTGTTTCCAGCTATGAAACTGGCAATGGTATCTCCGCTCAAGCCCATGGAGCCCTGAAGAAGGTTGACAACCAAGACGTTATTGTAAGTAGTACTCGTTGTACTGTAATGTAGTTCTTTTTACCCGACTGCGAGAAGGTTATGTTTTTCAAGTGTATGTATGTATGTCCATTAAAGACCAAGAGGTATGTATGTCCATTTATATGTTTCCTTGTACAGCCTAAATGGCTTGATAGATTTTGACATATGAAGTGTCGTTAGATTCGTTTTGATTGTGGAAGTGTCATAGGCTAAAAAAAAATAGTCAAAATAGTGAGGGGGTTAATTTTTTCATCTTTCCAGCTAAATATTTTTGCAGTCGGGTTTTTGTTTCATAAGTACTTTTTAGACTTGTTTCTTCTTATTGAAGAGTAGTTTGGTGGTGGAGTAATTGCCAACTGCCCAGCACCCTAACTTTGAGTTCCAAGCACGTTATTAACACTAGTTATTTCAATACTTATTATTTAACTGCCTCCGTGGCCGAACGGTTACCATACCGGACTGCCACGCAGAGGTCCCCGGGTTCGATTCCAGGGCCGGGAGAAATATTTGTATGGCCTGCATTTATTTCTCTCGTGGGTTTGGGTGTGATTTGTGGTTGTCTATGTGTGTCCATGGCACCCGCGACACAGGGTTTCCCTAGTGCGGGGCTATGTTGAGTGTGTGCGTTATTATTATTATTCCTTATTATTAAGCCATTATATGAGCTTAGGAAATGAAACTATATTTCCGGATTTAAATCGCGTATATTTGTTTTTTTCAAACAAAGCGACGTTTCGGGCCCTTTACTGGTCCCATGGTCACGGTTGACTGGGATCTGTAAAGGGCCCGAAACGTCGGTTTGTTTGAAAAAAAAAACAAATATACGCGATTTAAATCCGGAAAAATAGTTTCATTTCCTATGTGTAACAATCGCGAAAACCTAAGAACTCGACATTATATGAGCTATCAAAATCATTACTTAATTTAAAACTACTTCATATATTCTATTTAGTGGACATTAAAAATGCATGCACTGTGATATTGACACTGTTATTTAAGCCAAATCGTTTATCTATATTTACAATAGTAAACAAATCCCCAGTATGGCAACCGTGAGAATATTAAAAGATACCATTCCTCATAGCAAGCAACTAGTAGCAGTAGATCTCTTTATGAAAGAGTTCGTCCAGGGAAGTACTGCCACCTTACCTATTTCTGCCGCCAAGCAGTAATGTTAGCATTACTGCATTCCGGTTTTGAAGGGTAAGGGTGCTGGTGAAATTACATGCACATGGGATTTGCTAATTTATGTCTCAGAATGATGGGCGCAGTGGCAGTGCCCCTCAGATCTTTGAGATTTAAAGCTCTAAGTCGCAGTGCAACTATTATGGACAGGCGTGTAGCTCACCACCAGGCACACGACTTGTTCGTCCCGTCACACGATATATTAAAAAAAAGTACCATGTACACCATATTAGTTTTATAAATTAAGGAATGAAAAAAAGGAGTTGGACATAAGAACCTCAGCCTCAGTTATTTTATCATTTTTACATTCGCTTTTAGGTACTGATTTTGTTAAAGTAAATCTTACAGACATCGTGCTTAATGTGTTATTAAAGTAACATAGCCTCTGAAAGAGGTATAATTTGATTCATAAGAATGCTAACTACAAACATCATTGTGTTTACTATATTTTATATCACATTTTTATCTTCGTCCTGAAAAATTACGTAGGAAGGTCATTTACTATCGTGACCTCTCTAGGCATCCCTATCTACACTTCATGGAAAACACAATATGCAGTTACTTATAGAAATATTTTTCTCATTTCAGAGTATTCAAGGCGAATATCAGTACCAAGCTCCAGACGGTACTAACGTCAGATTCAGCTATGTAGCTGACGAAAATGGATACCAGCCACAGGTAAATTCGACTATTGCCGAAAAGATTTATTAACGTATAAACAAAAACTAATAGTCGCCGTCGTCTTTTCCATCAAAACAAGGAAAATATACAAACATCTGAAGAGGCTGTATGGTATAACTTTTGCCCACTCAAATAAATGAATGAGAGAAATAATCAGTAAGTAACACTAAAAAAACGTCAAAAGTCATTCATCCCCCCGCTTGCCACCCTTAAAGGTGGAATATTTTCCTCATTAAATGGGGTCCCATTACCATTACCACTGCTGGGTACCTTCTTGTCAACAAAAAAAGAATCATTAAAAATCGGTTCTGAAATGATGGAGTTATCGCGTAATATATAAACAAAAAAAAAGTACATTCGAATTGAGAATCTCCTCCTTTTTTGAAGTCAGTTAAAAAGAAAAATAGCAAACTTTGTTTTTGGTTTTTGTAGTTACAGTTTTTACATGAATTAATTAAATTTTATGTAGATTACGTTTAGAGTTTGTTAGTTATTTGTTACCTTTTTAAGCTCTACGGTGAATGCTCGTTAAATAAATAATAAATTAATTATAATAAATGGGTGAAAATTTATGAAATTTATGAAGTTATGAAAAAAAAAAACTAGCTAATTCATACGCAAATGGACCAAAGACAACAGAGAAGAAATGAGAAATAAGACAAGTAGCCCAAAAGTTTGGAATCCAGTTTATTATCTTTGCAGTCTATTAAAGAATGTGGTATACTAGTGCTAGACAGCACGAATAGATCTATTCTGAGTATCTTGGGTATAACTTTGACCTTTGACAATAAAGAAAAATTACTCAGCTGGAATGACTCGATAAGTACAAGATAATTAATATAATAGGTCTTGTAAAAACGATTCTGCGAATTAGACGTATGAAAAGAACATTTAGTCCTAGTTATATGTAAGAGATTTTTCTAATATAAAAGTAATTTCTTGCAGAGTGACCTCCTGCCTGTAGCTCCAGAGATCCCAGCAGCCATCGTTCGTTCTCTAGAGTACATTGCTGCTCATCCACCAGCAGTGGAACATCACGCCAAAAAATTTTATTAGTGACGGTGCAACGGACAAAAGCTTAACAAAACAAATCGCTAGAGATGTTTATAGATCGTTTATTTTATTGTATATTACAATTATGTGTGCCAAACCTTTCGTTATTTGTTTCATTTATCACATTTAAGCTTACCAAGTACTCAGATGAAAGAATCTTATATTTTCTTACAACTTACGGGTGAATACTGCCGGAAGGATCAATATTATGTATACTTTGCTGACCGACTTTTCAATTACTACACTTAACAAATATAAACAGTATTTACAAATAAGACGGACTGATATTTGGAATATAATCATTTCTATATACGTCCCTTTATTATAGGCATGAGTTTTTATCAACTATGCATTGGTTATGTGTAAATTGCTGAACACCTTAAATACAGCAATAAGCCTACCAACATAAGTTGACATTAGCTGCGAAAAAATAATCAGGCGTTTCATTGAAGTAGGTTGGTTTGACTAGATAGTTGTTATTGTAGGATTAGGTAATAAATAATTTAAAAAATAAGTCCGATTCACTTACTTTTTAGATTTCTATTAAGAATTTGTAATATGATTTGGAATGATCGCATGAAAAATAAAAAGATAAAGTTTACAATAAAATTACAATGTCAATAATATAATTATTATCCATGGCTGTCAATACAACTTTTTCAGTTTTTAAAATACTAACTGACGGAAGTTGTGCGTCTTATGATAAGCCTTGGTACAGATGCCTTTCCATAGCAGTTGCAGTGCTACTCAGAGGTTTAAATTGCAAAGATCTGAAGGGCACTGCCACTGCGTCTGTCATCCTGAGACATATTAAGTTGACAAGTCCCATGTGCTTATGATTGCTCTAGCACCCTTACCCTTCAAAACCGGGACACAGTAATGCTGACATTCCTGCTTGGGGGCAGAAATAAATAAGGTGGCAGTACTTAACTGGACAAACTCTTTCACAAGGAGCTCTACTGCGTGGTCTCTACCGTGGTCTTACGCGCTTCAAGCACCCTTTATTCAATTCACGTTTATATTTTTTTTAATTATGTTTTTTTTATTTTTATGATACCAACTGACAGGCCGAACAAGTCGCGCGCTTGATGATAAGCGACACGCCTGTCCATAACAGTTGCTGTGCCCTTACAGCTTTAAATCGCAAAGATGTGAGGGGTACTTCCACTGAGCCTGTCACCCTGAAACAGGTAAGGGAAGAGAAGGGTAAGGCTTCAAAACAGGAACGCAGTAATGCCCACATTACTGCTTGGCGGCAAAAATAGGTAAAGTGGCAGTACTTCCTGCACAAATTCATACACAAGGAGCTGTGGTTACTAAACAGTGCGTTCATATTATTATTATTACCACTACTTTAAATAGCACAGTTTATAATTTTACAAAAGCAATAAAACATTCATTTTCATGCGCCTCGTTAATTCAGTCTGCATGTTAAAATGTAAGGTTTGTTTGAACGAGCATGATCATAAAGTGGCCATCTTTATAGTTAAGAACCACAAATTTTTAATTAATATACCGTAAACAGGATTTCTAGTGCACTAGCCATGTGTAATTATTGACATATAAGTAAGTCGTATTGCGTATTACAATGTAAATATTACTTACTTACTAACTTAACAAGTCTGAGATCTTTACGTGTATGTAGGCCACGGCCGTACACTAAAGTACAACAATAAAAATAATACTGTTACAAACCGAGTTTTAGACTCTTGTGATTGTTACATTTTGAAAATGAAATTATGTTTCCTAGCTTAGAATAATAACGCATAGAATATTAGATTCATATCATACGAACTGTCACAAGTGAGGCAAAAATCAAAGTCATGTAGGCGTAAGCAACGTGTACTTACGCTCGTCGGCACGCACACAAATATTCAAATAATGATGCCATGGAATAACATTTCCCTCAAAAGTGGGGAAATTTTATCTACCTTAACTCATCATTAAGTTAAAGATGCCTACAGATGTGCCCGACATTGTCGATCAGGTGCCTACAGATTAGCTCGATTTTGACGATCGTTACTGTCGATCGACAATATCGATCAGGTGCCTACAGATATGCTCGATTTTGTCGATCGACAATGTCAAGTGACAAGAATTTTCAAAAAATTATTTTTGGTAACCCTTACGGAAATGGCATTTATATCTGAATAAACGATGGTGGACACGACTTTTCAAATAAATACAATATGGGTATCATTTTCGGGGTATTTGGTGGTGCACATTACGAATATGGCACTCATTTCTAAATCCAAGATGGCGGGCACGATTTTTCGAATAAAGGCAAGTTGGGTATTGTTCTCAGGGTATTTGGAGGTGTTTATTACGAATATAGCATTTATTTCTAAATCCAAGATGGCAGACACGAGTTTTCAAATAAATGCAATATGGGTATCATTTTCGAGGTATTTGGGGGTGCTCATTACGAATATGGCACTCATTTCTAAATCCCAGATAGCGGGCACGATTTTTTGAATAATGGCAAGTTGGGTATCATTTTCGAGGTATTTATGGGTGTTCATTACGAATACTCATATTGCTTTTATTTGATTTAGAATAAGTGTCATATTCGTATAGAGCATCCTCAAGTACCTCGAAAAGGATACCCATATTGCATTCTTTGAAAAATCGTTTTTGAAAAATTCTGCAACCATCGCGATATTGCCTATTCTAAAAAAATTACGTAATATTATTCTTTTGAAACAGAATAGCAAAATGGGGAGAAAGAAATCGATTACTTTGCAACATTTTCGTGTTTTGTTGCGACGAAATTAATTTTCGGTTTTAGTGAATATTTATATAAAAATACAAGTTGAAACGCGTTACTTTCTTGTGAAATGTGATGTTAGTATCTATTTTATGTTTGTCTGACGTATTTTTACAATCATTTACTGCACATTTCGTCATTTTTAGCTAAAATTCTGGAGCTGTTCGCGGTGCAAGTTGACCTTGAGCACTGACGGCCCAACCGCTCGTGTAGGCCCATTGGGAGCGCTAGAATTTGCCTCACTTAGCGTGTGCGGACTAGGTTTCTATGCGTTATTATTCTAAGTTTCGTGGTATGAAATTAGTATGTAAAGTCAGTCGTAACCACGAGATTTGAAACTTATGTTCATGAAAAAAAATTTACGCGATTTTCTTCTTAAACGTTTCCTCATTACTGTTCCATTTCGTTATCTGTCTCCATCGGTAGCGCTCAATCGGCTAGTGGAGTGTAACGCTGACTGTTGAAGAACAACTGGAGCTACATGTCAGTTGTTTGTTTTTGTCAGTTTCCTGAGATCTGGGATCCTACTCTCGAAGCACAAAATTCCTAGTTACGGCCGTTTTCCCACTGTGGATGACCTACTCTCTACTAGGAGGATTACTCTCGAAATCCATCTTTTTCTTCTTCTTCTTTTAAATGTTATGGCCCTATCGAAGTAATCGATAATTTCACCAATGTCATGTTGAGGAACACACGCGTTTTTACTCAAAAATTGACCCGTGAATTTCAACTTTTGACAGAATAGGAGCATCTAGAAATCTTTCCATCCTCTACGGTAAATCTACAATGACAGAGAACACAGACTATTGAAACAAATTTTTTTTAAATAAATTTACACATCACATGCATCGAAATGTTTTTTTTCCATCCTCTAAGATCGAAATCCATCGACGAAAATACTTTCCCGAAGAGAAGGGCCTTAGAGGATGGAAAAAAGAAGGGCCAGATCGACTGTCAAATCGCGTTGTCATATATTCATAATTCTAGTTCTAGCCCCGATCGAAACTCTGTTTGTAGGAAAAAATAATTGCATTAGTATTTTTTTGGCCTGTTTCATTCTTATAGGATGGAAAAAAAGGAATTCATTCAAATAATGACACATGAATGACACATTCAAAATACAAAATTTCTTACAGCAGAGTTTAATGTCCAGTTAGGAATTAAGAGCCTTTGCGTATTTGAAATGAGCGTAATCTGCGTGTATACGCGCATCATTTGCGCGTATACGTGTCGCAGACGCTCTGCAGTGAATCGATTCAAACGCGCGCAAACATTGCGTTGCAAACAAGAAGCTTATATAGTACTACTTTCATGTAGTTGCTTCATAAAAAAAATTAAGTAAAATTAACAAACAAATTAAAATTATCTGTTATCAAAATGCGCGATAAATACGCGTGTTTTCAGAGCGTCTACGGCGCGTATACGCGCAGATGTCGTGCGTTTATGGCGCGTATATGCACGTCGTCGGCGCTTAAAAAATACGCTGTGTGCATAGGCTCTTAGATAGTTTATTGGTGATATTTCATTATTTCACGACATTTTGTAGGGTGTAATTCTACCCAATAATACTAACAACTAATTCTTCGTATATCTAGAAAGTTGTTCATGTTTATTGGTAGAAGCTATTCTACTTTACCCATTCTTGCCCGCCGTGACAATTTAGGAACACTTCATTATTGAGGGTATATAAGAAATACTTTGATTGTAGTTAACGTGTTGTTGCTTCATTGAAAAGATGAGACTGCATTGCTTAGATGTACATCGGAAGTATTTATAATACTATTAAGTAAACTCGTGTAATAAATGATCGAATTTCATTCATAGAATCTGCACTAACGCATATACATGTTTATGATTACCACACAGTTCAGCTCAAATATATGTTATGTTGTATCTTTATTACTTCAAATTTAGTATATAAATAAATTCTTTAAAACTTCAAATAAGGTAAATAAATATACGTAGTTATCTCTACCCAATGCATGAAAATTTATAACATTGAAAATATTACTGCGCCAATTTTGGTACAACGGCTACAAGAGTAGTAATATAATTGCTACTCATTTTTATTTATTTTTTTTCAAGTAATCAGTATGAAATGTTTTACCGCTAGTAATAACTATCGAGGGCTGGAAGAAGCTATAAATTAGATCACAGAAAATGATGACAGGAAGGAGTACGATTTTTCAATAATTCCACTAGAGTCCAGCGTCATATCTGATGAAGATGAGAGCTTTGACGAATTCATTATTCCATCAAACTTACCGAAGTTAATAATATTGGCTTTCTTGCCGATTCTGAAGATAGTGACGATGAGCCATTGTCTACCAAAAGGTCAAGACATAGCAATACATC